TACTGGGAAAAACTCAGGACTTGCACATGCTGGACAAGAGTTCTACCACTGAGCTCCATCACAGCCTTAGAGTGTGTGTCCCTGGACATGTGAAAAGTATCCCAACACAAGAATATTTACGGTAGCAATACGTGTAGTAATGAACATGTAGAAAACCTATGGGCCCACTAATAAGTATCTGGTCAAGCAAACTATGGAATACTGTGCAACAGAATGGTAGAGCTATTTAAAAGAATTAGAGGGGCTGGGGATTTAGCTCAGTGGCAAAGCGCCTGCCTGGCAAGCGCAAGGTCGTGAATTCGGTTCCCGGTACCGGAGAAAAACCAAACCAAAAAAAAAAAAAAATAAAAAATAAAATAAAATAATATAAAATAAAAGAATTAGATACAGCAACATGAGCTGATATGGGTGTCTTCAACATATATCATCCTGTGAAGAAATCCCAATGCCCAAGGGGTCATGCCTTATGTCACAAATTTATGAAGCAACGAAACAATGCTGTCTCTCTCCCTATATGTGGGTATGTTTTTTTTTATGGTTTTTTTTTTTTTGGCTTTTTGAGACAGGGTCTCGCTATGCAGTTCAGTCTGGCCTTGAGCTCACTTTGTAGCCCAGACTGGTCTTGAACTCACAATAATCCTCCTGCCTCAGCCTCCTGAGTGCTGGGATTACAGGCCCTTTGTGTGTCTATGTATAAGGGCTACTTGGTCATTAATAGTAGAGGGGGATTTGGGGCTGGAGAAATATCATCTATGTCTACCACCTTGATCTAGTCATCTTTTACTCCATGTATATTTATTTTATCTGTTGTCAAAAGGAAATACCCTTTCTAAAGGAATGTTTTGGGGGACAGACCCCAGACATTTTACTTTACAACCAAGAAAGAGAAGGCAAGGCTTATGACGCAGAACTGGTTTTTAGCCTTATACTTCAGACAACATGAAAAACACAGGATAACAAGGTGGAAGAAGGCAGGGACATAGCCATACTGTGAGAAAATGAAGCCGGCAAAACTAACATTTCTCACTCTGTGTTTCCACACTTGTAGTTTAGCTCTGGCATTGCAAGAAAACCCTCTGAGCACAATACTCCACTTCTAAGAAGGGGCAGAGTAGTAGATGCCAGAATGGTCATTTATTACTTTTTCAACCAGCATTTGTGGACTTCAACTTGAGTTCTAGATACAAAGAAAAAGAAATGGTTCAGTGGTTGCTGGCCCAGCCCTGAGCAAACTCAGGAGGAGGGGACCTCCTAGAAGAAATTCCCAGAAGGTGCTTTCTGGGCTGAGTGGTCCAGACCAGAGTCTCCAAGATCTGCACTGTCCCAGGAGAAATACACGTACCTGTTACTCACTGAGTTGAGAGTGCAGCTTGGAGACCTGGCCCGGTTTGGAAAGACTTCCTGAGGAAGTCGCACTGGGGCCAGACCTGACAGGTCAGGAGGAGGTAGGAGAGTGAGGGCCTGGCACCTGTGAAGGCTGAAGGCAGAGGAGAACTTAGGCTGGCTGGAGACAGAGAGTGGCCCGGCAGGGCTGGGATGTCATGGAAGTTGGAGACAGATGCGTCATGGAGGTTGCAGAAGCTGAAAGGGGCCCACATATTGCTTGCTATGTCCAGAGCAAGTGGGGAGGCGAGGGAATCAGATCTCTGCCGGAGAAATTATGTCTTTAAAAAGAGCATCTGGGAAGAACACAGCCTACCTGGCTGTGGTACAGAGAGAGCCGATGGAGGGCAGGGTGTGCGGATTTGGGAAAATGCTCTGGAAGCCCTGCCTGCGTGGGAAAGAGCTTGGACTGAGCTGGTGGGAGTGGAGAGGCAGAAATGAACTCATGGCGAACAATTTGCAAGCAGTAGCCACCAACCTCCTACAACCAGATGGGAGGAGGGAGAGACAAGGCCAAGCAGACTTGGAAGTTTCTAGTTTGAACAGCTGGGGGGATATTGGCTCTTTTGCTGAAAGTGAAAAACCAGGAAGGGAGCTTGTTTGGAGGAAGATTAACTGTCCATTTGGGGATGGTGAGAGGGCACAATGCCTATGAAACCACTCAAGTGCAGATGTCCCCTTACCTGATCTTATGGTTTAGATCTAGGACGGCCCTAAAAGTCTCGTATGTCTGGAAGGAGACTGGCTTCTGGGGATGCCATAGATGGCTTGCCGTGAGGAGATGGGCCTGGTTGGAAGTGGACCACTGGGGTGTCTTGGTTACTTTTCTCTTGCTGGGACACAATACCTGATGCCCAGAGCTTAAGGGAGAAAAGTTAATCTTGGCTAACAGTTTGTAGAGGTTTCAGTAGTGGTCTCCGGGCTCCAAGGCAGGCAACATGGCAGAGGGTCACGGCAGAGGGTTGCTCGTGGCGTGGCAGACAGAAAGCAGAGAAAGTGATCAAGGGAGGGGAAAGGGAGATAAACCCTTACAGGCCACACTGTCAGTGACCCAGTTCCTCCTATGAGGCTTCATCTCCCAATGTCACATTTACCTATAAATTCATCAGTGGACTAATCCAGGGATGAGTGTCACAGTCCCATGATCAAGTCACCTTCCAAAGCCCTACCTATGAAGACAGGAGACCTCAGGGTGGCATCTACACATAAAATGTAGCAAGGGCATGACCTGGAAAGGTGTATCTTCCTCCCCAGCTCCTCTCTTCTCTCTCCTTCCTGATGTGAGCAGCTTTCTTTCACCATACCCCTTGGCCAGTTTGTCTTTGTTTAGAGCCAGCCAACCCTGGACTAAAACCGCGAGCCAATGAAAACCTCCGCTCTTTTAAATTGTGGGTGTCAGCTATTCTGTCACAGCAGGTAAGTAACGAGGACATCAGGCCCTCCTGGCCATGAGCTTGTGCATCTTTCCGTCTTTTCTTGCGGCCTTCTTTTGCCCTCACTTTGGTTTCTATAGGATGTGGATGCCACAGACTATCAGAAAAACCTTCCTTTGCTTAAACTTTCAACTTCCTTGACTTTCTGTTGCTCTGCTGTACTGTACCCAGTGCTAGGGGTTCAGTGGTGTCCTCCCAACATTCTTATTTGAGGTCCTAAGCCCTAGGGCTGTAGAAGGTGACTATATTTGGAGACAGAGTAACCACATTTAAACAGGCACTCAGGTTAAAATGAGATCGTTAAGATGAACCCACATCCACTGCAATTGATGTCTTCCTAAGAAACGGACATTTGGGTACAGACACGCACAAAGAGAAGGCCACTCAAGAGGCAGGGAGAAGACAGCAAGCTGCAAGCCGGGGAGAGAGGCCTCAGGAGAAACCAGCCCTGCTACACCTTGACCTTGGACTTCCAGCCTTCAGACCTGTAGGACAGTAAATTTCTATAGTGTTTGGCATTCCATGTGTGGTACTTTGTTTAGAAAATTACTGCTCCTAAGAAGCCCAACCCTATCAGATGCAGCTCTCTGCTTGCTTTTTCCCTTTGTCTAAGCTGTGGGAAGTGACTGGGCAAAACACAAGCTCACCAACAGGCCTATCTTTAAATCCCTGACCTCCTGTGGACATCCTGAGACTTTTCCTTTCATTCCACAGCCCAAGTGCTTCCCCAGCTTCTGTCCCATTCCACTGGCACCCCACTCACATCAGGAGAGGGCCACCTGCTTCTTACTGGGAAGTCATCGGAAGGCAATGTCTCCATCACCAAGCCTTAAAGCCCTGTTCATTTTTCTTCTGTGAGCCGCAGAGCACCCATCCCACCCTCACCAGCCTGGGATTCCTCTTGCCTACACAGAGACCTTTTGCTCTGAACACTTCCTCCTGTCCTTCACTGTCAGCTGTTTCCTGTCCAGTGAGGCATCCCACAAACACGCTGATAGAGGTCTCATCTGCGGATAAAACATTCTCCCCCGGGGTCCCCAGAATATTCCAACTGTGTCCTTAGTTTTTGTGACAGAGTAAACACACACACACACACACACACACACACACACACACGACTTGCTTATACTCTCTTGGACTTGCTCTGGGTGGGCTTGTCCTCCCTGCTCCTCTACAGTGATACATTTAGTCGTTATTCCCATAACGGGCCGGCTGCCCTTCCTCTCGTCTCACTCACCCTTCCCAGCTCTCTCTGATCTCTAGTCCAGGAAAGCCCCAGGGTGAGCCTCTGGAACTTTCTTCTCTGCACATAATCTCTACATGACCCTGTTCCTGCTCCTGCCCTAAAACCTGTACGCAAACCCCTCCTGCCGTGATGCCTGCAGCCCTGGTCCTTCTCCTCAACCACAGACGTTTGTATCCTATTGGCTGCTGGATGCGTCCTCTTGCAGGCCTCTCCGACTTGCTGCATTTAAACAGAATTCTCCATGCACGCTTCCCCACCTCCAAGCCACATCCACTTTGTTGCCAGTTCTCCCGTCTGTATATGTAGCGAAGCTGTCCTTCCTTTGATCAGTTACTCAGAACAAAAATCCGGGAGTCATTTTTGACTTCTCTCCTGCTAACAAAGGCTACACTCGCTCAGCAGCTAATCCTGCTGCCTCTACTTTCAAACTACATGCAGAATTCAGCTCTGCTTCGTTCCTCCTGTCCTGCTCAAAGTCGTCATTACGGGTCTCCACCTTTTGTCCTTGCCGTCTGCACTGTATTCTCAATAGCAGAGGCAGGTTAAACCTTTAGAATGTCACACCAGACTGAGACCCATAGTGACCTGAGTGGGTTAAAAATAAAGTACACTGTCCAAAAAACCCAAAGAGTTTGTATCCTGTCCTACAGAGCCATGGTGATCTGGCCTCTGGATCCCTTCTGAACCTTTCATTCCTACCACACTCTTTCTAGTTTAGCTGCAGTGGTTTCCTTGCTGCAGGGACAGGTCAAGGAGGCTTGCAGGGGCCCCAGGGAGGGGTCCTCCCAGTTGACGGGACCTCCCTTGCCCATCTATCTACTCAGGAGTCTGGTAGTGAGCCGAGTTAAATCCGCTCTTCCCTCTGCCTGGAAATCATTTGCCCCATGGAAATCCAGTGGTCTGACCCCTCACGTGACTGAGGTCTCTGCTGAAATGCCACAGATGTTCTGTGGAGAAAGCAAAGACAAGACAAAGCCCATGGGTGTTTAAACTCCGATTCCCACCCTGTCCTAAACTCATGTCACACACGGAGGAACTGCACCTCTTCTGCGGCCCAGTAAACCCCGCAGTAACAGGTTAGCGACCACTGAGCAAGGGCCAGGCATTGTGCTCAGCCCCTCGGAACACGAACCCACTCGATCCTAAAACCCTGAAAGCCGGTAGGGCCACCAATCTCCGCCTCCCATCTGAAGGCGGACAGGTTAAAAAGAGCTTGCTGAGTCCCCCAGCCAGGGCTGGGCTTGAGGCCGGAGCTTCACCACCGGTGCTTCTTAGAGAAGGAATCAAACTGAAGTTAGGCTGAGCACGCATTTGTCGAAACTCAGAAAGAGACGTGGGCACAGGGCCGCCTTCTCAGGCAGAAGGCGCTGTGTGAACGCGGGGACGGAGCCCGGCAAGGAGCACAGCGGCTCAAGCGTGAAGAGCAGAGTTGATAAACGCGGAGGGCAGGGACACACCGTGTGACCGGGGCGCCTGCAGAGGGTTCCAGGTAGCACTTTCTCCCCCGAGATGAGGACCTGGGCCCCTCAATGTACTGGAAGCGCTAGGCTGGAGGACGATTGTGTCTTTTAAGTCCTTTCAAGCCTTACTGGCCCGGCGTCCCACGGAAACTTTGAAGCAGGGGGGTTGGGAGTGAGAAGCGAAGCAAAGAAAAAGCAACCGAAAGGAAGCGGGGAGGTTCAGTGTCAGACAGCCGGCGCTCTCCTCTCTTCCTGCCCGGCCTCCCGCTGCCTCGGCCTCCCTCGGCTTGGCACCCCGACCACCCCGCCTTCCGTCTCATGGCCAACTATGAATTCAGCCCGATGCCCAGGGACGAGCGCTGCTGCCGGCTCTCTAGGAGATCCAGGGTGTGTCTCTGCCTCGGTCTCCTGGTCCTGGTGGCCTGCGCGGTGGTCCTGGCGGCAGCCCTGACGTGGTCCCGCGCACAGACGCCCGAGCCCTTGGCGTGGAACGGGGCGGGCACCACCCGCAACCTGTTGGAGCTCGTCCTGGGCCGGTGTTACAGCTACACGCAGCTCGTCCGGCTGGACCTCAGGTGAGCGGAGTGGTCCCGCGGGGCACAGCTGGGCACAGCTGGGCGGACGCGGCCCGGGCCCCACGCGTGTCCGCGGAGGGCGCAGAGCCCGGGTCAGCCTCGCAGCAGGGACGGTCACCTCGCTGCGGGGTCCGTCCTCGTCCCTGCTTAGAAAGCGTGGGACGCCTGCCCCGGGGCGTGCGGAGCCCGCGCTGAGCCTGCGGGTGCCGGCGGGGACTTTGTTTATTTATGCAAAACCACTCGCGCTCTTTCCTGCGCGCCCCCGAAAGCTTGTGCCCGTTAGCCGAGCCGCAGGGGCTGTAAGGTCCGAGACTCCGCCTGTCAGGGAAGCGACGCTAAGCTCAGCACCCATCCGCCGGCCTGGACCTGCGGGATCCCCGACCCCGCGCCCCCCGCTGGGAGGCCGCCACCCCACTTCGATTCTGGGGCCGGGCCTTCCGGGTGGGACTCGGTTTTAAAGATGTGCAGCGGAGGCTGGGAAGGCCCCCAGGCGAGCTGCGAGGTTGCCCTCCGCTTAAAGGTGCAAAATGCTCATCCCAGACTTCCCGGGCGACCCAGTCCCGCTGCCGCCGCGCTCAGCTCACGGGCGGGGGAACCCGGAGGCCCAGGTCTTGCAAATTGTTCACATTCCAAGGTTCTGAGGGTCCCGCTGAGAGTTTTGTTTTTACAGATAAATACTTCAGTGAAAGAGAAAGTAGACTTTGAGGCGCCCTCTTTCCGGCTACACTGCAACTGGAAATGGCACTTAAAAAGCAGTCTTCAGAGAGGCTGAGGCAGGAGGATCACAAGTCCCAGCCTGGGTAACTTTTCTGTTTAGGGAGGCCGTGTTTCAAAGTAGAGAGTAAAAGAGAAAAAAAAGGGGAGGGGGCGGGAAAGGGTAGCATAAGCAAAAGCAAAAGGTCTTATTTTTATTTTCGCCTTAACTTACAGAGTTAAAACGTCTTTGGTTGCTTCATCAGTTTTGATAAATTCATACCATCATTTAGATGTGCATATCCATATAGCAAGACAGATGGAAGCAGACACTGCATGGCTTTTAGTGTTGGTCTGGATGCAAGCTCAGTGTCGAACACGAGTGTACACACATCTGCACTTGTGTCTCTATATATTCAGCAAATACTAATACATTAATATTATTTAATCATAATCCAGTTTCAGATTAACAGAACATAGCCTGTTAAAAGTTTTATTTTATTTTATTTTGGTTTTTCTCCGGTACCGGGAACCGAACTCACGACCTTGTGCTTGCTAGGCAGGTGCTTTGCCGCTGAGCTAAATCCCCAGCCCCCGCCTGTTAAGAATTTTAAATATCTTTACAGGCATCATATACACTGTTTACACCCACTCACTCACATTTGATATAAATGAGTTACCAATAATATGGTGCTTATCGCTGTCTACCGAGCACTTCAAAACATTGTCACTTAATGCTTTAACGACTGGTGGTTACAGTTGATATCCCCATTTCACAGATAAGTAAACTGAGGGTTTCAGTAAACCACCTAAAGTTGGGCTCTGGGAACTGAACTCTTAGCCACTAACTTATACTCCTTACCTGTTCCACAGGTTGAGTGACTAACATTTGTTGGTTGTGCCTAGAGACTTGAAATAGGGATGCCAGTATCATAAATATGGACTGGACAGACTTTCATCAGAGCGTGTGGCCACCTTACCATTGGGTGCTTTAAGCACGTCAACTCTGGAGTCTCACCACCTGGGTTTACCGCTTGGCTATGTCACAGTGTGACCTTGGGTGCATGCCTAAGTTTCTCACCCGTAAGATAGAAACATTAATGATAGCATCCCCCATGTAGACAAATTAGGTTGGTTAGGAGGACTCTTCTTACCGTAAATTTTCAGTGTCCTATTTTGGAAATGTAGCATTCTGGCAGCTTTCTTCACTAATAAATACAGATCAAGGCCATTTACAGCGAATGGCTTGTGTCAGTCCAGCAAATCAGCCCACCACTGACAGCATTTATGTTCTCATTTTTAAGTGATCTTTTCAGCATGTCTTAATATTCCATAGTGTAGGTGTAACCATTTCTAGTTGACAGAAAATTAGTTTGTTTCCCATTTTTTAAATCTCATTCATTCAGCAAAATACTTGAGCATCTACTGCATTCCAGGCAGTGAACCAGTGAAGTCACAGGAGTCCCCACTATTAGGAAACTTTCCTTCCACTGGGGAAAGACACGCCCCAGGGAACATCTTTGTCCTTGCACTTTTGATTACACAGGGGGATGTTTCTGTAGGACAGATGCCTAAGGCTGAGATTGTTGGGTCAATATTTTTACTTTAGATTTTAATTTTTTCAAGTTTTTGATTGTCGTTCTATTCAGGGTGTCAGGTCCCCAGAATGAGGTGCCCACTGATGAAAAGAAAAAAGAGGATGAAAAACAAGAGAGGCAAAAGTCTGGGATCAGGGGGGCCTTACAGCCTCTTGGACTGCAGCCCGGATTACCAATCTCAGTCACCTTTACTGAGGGAGAACCAAGGGCGTAGCTAGTACAGATGGGCAGATACCCAACGTTTTAGCAAGGATAATTAAAGGGTTATCCGTCTCCACATGTAATCCAACACACGCCTGTAATCCCAGCACTCAAGAGGCTGAGACAGGAGGATCGTAAACTCAAGGCTAATCTGGGCTGTATAATGAAGCCTTATCTTAAGCGACCCTAACAAATAATAAACAAATCATTGTGTCCTCAATGCATTCTAATCAAAGAATGTCCTCCACATCTGATATTTCCAAACTCCTCCCCAAATAGCTATACCACTTCACACACTCACATCAATCTATCAGAGGACGTGTGTTCCTGTAATCTCTTCATTATTGAATATTTTCAAGAAAAGTAGCTCCTAATCGTTCCTCAAGTAGCAGTGAGTCTACTCGTGGATTTTTATTGGTGGTTTACACTTTTTTTTGTGAAGCTGTTGTTCAGATCCTTGATCATTTGTGTTGAGTTACACATTTGTTTTTGTGAGAGTTCTTTATATATTTTAGATAATATTTACATGCACACTGTCTGATAGCCCCTTCCCTGGAATTTCTACTCTGTGAGCATGTTTCATTGGCAGCTTCCTGGATTTGATTATTGCTTTGAGACCATTTCTTACTTTGATCATCTTTTACCAGAAAAGATTGGGAATGGCAGTTTTCTTTTCTTATTTTTTCCTTCTGTTTTTGGCAGTACTGGGGATCGAACCCAGGACCTTCACACTGAACTACACCCCGAGCTTTTATTTTATTATTTATTTGTTTATGTATTTTTGAGACCATGTCTCACTAAGTTGCTAAGTTGCCCAGTTTAGGCTAGAACTTGTGCTCCTCCTGCTTCAGCCTCCCTAGGTGTTGGGATTACAGGCATACGCTACCAAGCCTGACTTTAGGTTTTATTTTTGAACTCAGCAAATTCCAACCTGGAAATATTTGCTCTTGATTCTGCTTTAAACAAATCCCGAATTTCCCCCTCTCCTTTTGTACCTCACCTTACACAGCTAAAAGAAATGAGCTGGCCTTTTCAACATTCTGCATGGACGTCTGCTTAGCCGGACCTCCCAGTTCATACCTCCATTAGAGAAGGTGACTGAGAAGTGGGTAATGTTACCACATGAAGTGGGCTGCTGTTCTTCCTGGTCAGCGGCCTGCTTGTCCGTCTAGCCCGCACTCACCATCTCCTGACACCCTCCTTCCTCCGTCTGCCATCCGGTCTCAGTGCCAGTGCCACAGGGTGCAGTCAAGGCCTCCCGAGAAAAAGAAACAGTAACATGCATGGGGGGGTGGTTTATATCATTTTGAAAGGCAGCAATCAGAAAATCCTGGCAGGCTGGAGATCCAGGCAGAGTTGATGTCGCAGTTTGGGTCCTGGACCTCAGTCTTTTTCTGAAGACTTCAACTGATTAGAAGTGGCTCACCCACAATACGGAGGGCGATGTGCTGTACATCATCTAAAAATACTTTCATAGCAACAACCAGAAATGTGTAACCAGTATTCCGGTACCATGGACTAGACCAGTTGACAATTAAAGTTAACTGTCATGCATATGTGTTAGGTTTTTGTTATGCTGTACCTGACTTCCAGATACCATTTTCTACTTTGGCCTTAATAAGCTAGCGCCCTAAAACTTACTGACATAAAGCAGCAATCATTTATTATCTCCCAAAAGTCTGTGGCTGGGCCCAGGTCAACTGGGTGGCCTACCCCACATAATGTCACCTAGGACTGTTGTCAATCCAGGGACCAGACAAACCATCTTTCCCCATCTTCTCACAGTCCCTTCTGTGCCCCAGCCGACTGTCTTTTCTGATCTCTTTATCTTCCTGTTACAATTATTGATTCTCTTTCCTTCTTTGCTTCTTCTTCCTCTTCAAAACTTCCAGATTTTCTCAGAAGCCACTTCTCCAGTTTTACTTCCCTAAGCCTCCTATTTCGATGACACTCTCAGCCTGTGAAAGTCTACTCAGTAAAATTCATTAGTGCACAGTGGCGAATTCACAGAGATGCTTGGGAAGACCTGTGGCCTGCGTGGTGACAGAACTCCGCATGGAGGGGGAAAAGAACCCTCAGGCCTTGATCTCTCCGGAGTGGGAGGTGGGGAGGAGCAGCCTGAGAACCTAACGCTGTAGGACTCCATGATCTGCAATGACAAGAGCCTTATGCGAGCCTAGAGGGCGCTGTGGAGGCCGCCATGGGGGGCTTGGAATCAGCAGGGCTGTGTCAGGGGCACCCAGGGACCCCTGAACAGGGCAGAGTGCTTGGGCCCCCGCACAGTGCCACCTATGGGTGGAAGTGGGCATCACCTACAGGTCTGGGGGAGTCAGAAGGTCTCTAGGAAGGTAGTTTTGTTTGAAGGCTGCTTCTTGAGATAGAATTCTGCAAGGGGTGCTCTGAGGAAAGGGTTTCCCGGTTGTGAGAAGCCGGGGCTCAGATAAGACCCTGGTACGGAAGAAGATGGGCCTAGCAATGTACCAACACTTTTTAAAGGTGGAGGGCGCT